ATGTTGTTTATTTGATCTACATTGGGTACATAGGGTCACCGCTACCCTTGTTAGAGTTGTCTGGCATGGAGGTAACAATTTTACTCTTTCTCCTCTGCAGTAAATGTCGTAGTTTCATCGTTACGTATGCTGTGAACTTTTTCAATCATTCTTTAAGCTAACTTTACATTTAAAAAGACATTAAGCAAGAATGCATAAGCACCTCAGTTAATTTTTAAGTGCTAAGTTTTAGGTAATTCTCAAGTAGTATATGATTTGAGTGTTTATAGTGACTATATGTAATAATCTAATATTAGATCTGCCAGTAGGATGGAAAGACTATAAAGTATTAATACAAACGGCGTGTCTAAGTTTTTTAAGTACGAAAGGTATTTGTGCAAGGGAAAGAAGATAAATGGTTTATTAGGTATATCCTGTTTTAAGATGAGTTCATGGGGAAAGAAATGGACAAAAGCATACTTGACAGCGCGCCTCTCGTACAAACTGTCCTGGTTGCTATTGATCGTTTCCTCCGTCTTGAATGAGACTTCGCGTCACTCATCCTTTGCGATACTTCACATATTGCTAGCCACGTTATGTAACAGTGGTTTATAAAACGAGAGAGTACGACATTGTTTATTTCAGTAAATTAACTTTATTGTATGACAGACTTTAGTACTTTAGGCAGGGAACTTGCTGGCCACATATGGTCGTATATGCGGGTCACTGGCCACATGTGGTCGTATGTGCAGTTCACTGGCCACATGTCATATGCGGCTCGCTGGCCACATGTGATAATATATGCCGTTCACTGGCCACATGTGGTCGTATATGCGGCTCACTGGCCACACATGGTAGACTGGTCATGTGGGGCAACATATGAAGCCCATTGGCCGTGCAGCCATATGTAACCCACTGGTTATGTGGCCATATATACAGCCTACTTGGCCACATGCAACCTCCTGGCCACATATGCAACCTGGCTACATGCGGCGGTGTATTTCTGGGCCACTGACTTCATGCAGCCATGTATTTACAGCCTGCTGACTACACGAGGCTCTTATGCGTCAAAATTGATTCGTCAGCACTGCCCTCAAAATCGGTAAAACGCACCCCTGTAAAACGTATCCGTGCCAAATGACACACTGTTAGGGACCTGGGGACTGGGGGGGGGGGAGTGCAAATGATGGTAGCCTCAAGAAAATACACTAATGAATCCTGTGACTAGTTGAATGGTTCAAGGAGGAGGCACTGGAAGTACTGTGTAAGCACATCTCATCAGTAACAACTCTCAAGCACATTGCACAGTTAATTAAATCAGGCATATTCAATTTGCCATGCAAGTCTGGCAGAATGGTACAGTATGGCGTGGAATTCAGTACGACATTTGATTTTTTCTTTTAAAAATACGTTATAACGTTAAGGCATGGCATAGCATTTCTGGCAGGTACGAAAAAAAAAAAATAATACCCTACCGTACCATATACTATACTGCCTGCTTTGTGTGATGCTGGTGATGGGGTCTTGATCCAAGGAATTGAAGTAATCCCTCCTTTCTGAGGTTAAACGTGATTTCCTTCCATACCCCAGGTGATGCGTGATCCTTAGGGGTTTAGTGTTTTATGAATGTTTTAATTCTTCCAGTGCTGGTCATCTTAATGCAGTGGTGGCATTTGAGTGATGTGTGCCTAGGCGTAGTCCTCTAATTTTGGTGGGCTGCCACTCTTCCCAAAGGGCGCTTCCTGACTTAAGAACTCGGTATTTCTTTGGGGATCGGTGGTGGATATGTTTGCTTTTTTGTGTAAATTTTATGACATGGCCAGCAACAACAGGCTGAGGTCATCTCTTCAGTAAAGGGTGACACCAACCCCTTCAACTGCTGCTCTTTCAGGTGAAGTCAATGATGAGTCATGGGCAGAATCCAAGGGTCAGTACTATTTTCTCCATGACAGTTTACCCCCTCCACAAGTTGTGATGCATCCCGATTGTTCTTTGCTTCCACATGCAGGTCTTTTAAAATGCCCAGCTGCTTCTCTTTCAATGCAATGTTGGTGTTGCTTTCAAGAATTACACCTTGCTGACGAGGCTTCTGCTGGGCTTGGAGGAATCTCAGTTTGCCCTTGTTCTTGAGCATAGTTTTGGTGTTGGCATGTTGGGGAACATCTCTAAAAATGCCTTTATCATCTTTCATAGACTATCTGCTTGCCTACTTTTGGAGTTCCTTCCATTACATGTACTCGAGGGCCTGGTCCCAAATCTGCACACTGCCATAACACACTGGAGTGAGAGATATGGGAGGAAGTGCAAAATAAACCCAGTTAGGAGCATGGGTGCTGTGGGGACAATAAGGGAACACTGTATCAACATCCGGGGTCCCAGACTATTCAACATCTTACCAAAAGATATCAGAAACACGGCTGGAACAAGTGTAGAAGCCTTCAAGAGGAAACGGGACAAGTATCTTCACCAGGTGCCAGATCAACCAGGCTGTGATGGATGTGTGGGGCAGTGGGCCTCCAGCAGCAACAGACTGGTTGAACATCAAAATGGTATACAATACCGACAGGTTGTTAGGTAAGACACATATGCAACAGTTAGACAACTTTATTCCGAAACGTTTCGCCTACACAGTAGGCTTCTTCAGTCGAATACAGAAAGTAGGCAGGAACAGTAGAGATGTGAAGACGATGTAATCAGTCCATCACCCTTAAAGTCGTAGAATTTGAGGTTGTCAGTCCCTCGGCCTGGAGAAGTTCAGTTCCATAGTCAGGAACTATCCTGACTATGGAACTGAACTTCTCCAGGCCGAGGGACTGACAACCTCAAATTCTACGACTTTAAGGGTGATGGACTGATTACATCGTCTTCACATCTCTACTGTTCCTGCCTACTTTCTGTATTCGACTGAAGAAGCCTACTGTGTAGGCGAAACGTTTCGGAATAAAGTTGTCTAACTGTTGCATATGTGTCTTACCTAACAACAGACTGGTTGACCAGACAAGAACCACACGAGCCTGGCCCATGTCCGGCCTCCGAGAATAGTGAAACTCGAAACTCTTCAAAGGTATATTTTCAAAGGTAAAGGTACAGATCCTTAACCTTGTTTGATGTGTTTCTCACGGACAAAACATTTATTTTTATGGACTTTTACTGGGATTATTTAAAAATGTATAAATTATTTATAAATATTTGTGCCTTTTCCACGAAATGTAGTACGCGCGCGCGCGCGCGCCACACACACACACACACACACACACACACACACACACACACACGCACACACACACACACACACACACACACACACACACACACACACACACACACACACACACACACACACGGGCACCTGGCAGACCTGAGATTAGCGTTCCGATACTTAAGCAAAGAATCTTTCAAGACACTGTACACCGGGTACGTCAGTCCATGCTGGAGTTTGTAGCACCAGTCTGGAACGCGCACCGGGTCAAGCATGTTAAGAAATTAGAGAAAGTGCAAAGGTTTGCAAGAAGGTTAGTTCCAGAGCTAAGGGAGTGTCCTACGAAGAAAGTTAAGGGAAATCGGCCTGACGACACTGGAGGACAGGAGGGTTAGAGGAGACATGATAATGACATACAAAGTACTGCACAGAATAGACAAGGTGGACAGAGACGAGATGTTCCAGAGAGGGGACACAGATGTGAGGGGTCACCCTTGGAAGTTGAAGACTCAGATGAGTCACAGGGATGTTAGGAAGTATTTCTTCAGTCATAGAGTGGTCAGGAAGTGGAACAGTCTGGTGAGTGATGTAGTGGAGGCAGGAACCAGACATAGCTTTAAGACGAGGTATGATAAAGCTCAGGGAGCAGGGAGAGAGGGGACCTAGAGGATAGGGTCAGGAGCTGAGTCTCAACCCCTGCAACCACAATCAGGTGTGTACACACACACACACACACACACACACACACACACACACAACCCCTTGCTTACCTGCCTCCCTCACCATCTCGTGTCGTACAGTGTCGTCAATGAATGAAGTAAACTGGTGAATATCTCATTAGAAAGAGTTTTCCTCCCTTGATCAGATCTGGGAGGTCATTCTTGAGGAGTGAGATTGTCTTAAAGCACATAACCATCACTACAAACAAGTGTACAAATGAGACCCTAGTAGAAAAAAAGCTAATAATAATAATAATAATAATAATAATAATAGTCATTTTGTAGGGGATGAAAATTTGGTGTCATGGCATCTTGAAGTTAAGTCCAACTGTTACAAAAACTATTTTTTATCCTTAAGGAAAGACAATGAAGAGAGGCGAGATAAATTTGGGAATCATTTTTCTATCCCCTATTAATGGACCACCGTAACAGTCACTTATAAAATAGTGAGGAGCTCCTGTGTGATACAGGTTGACTTTAAAATAGTTTTCAACTGCATTACATTGATGGGGAACTGCTGAAAAAAACTGCACAACACATGTTAGACCAGAATGAAAAAATAAATTATGACAGCATTGGATGTGCCATCTTTGGCTTATAAAAGAAATTGGGGATACATAAAGATACAGAATAATTGACAAGGTAGAGCTTTGAACCTCAAAACTGGCATAAGAGATTATAACTACAAACAAGGAGGAGCTGCTAAATTTTTTAATAAGAGCTGTAAATCAGTGGAATGAGTTACAAGAGGACTTATTAAACACTACAACCACTGGATCCCTTTAAAAGCTTTGATGGCCTTTAAAATAGTTTGATTGGTAGTACTGAAGACTGGATGCCACAGGTTGTAGTTACAAATAGGTAATCATGAACGTCTACTAAAAATATATTTTTAGTACTGAGTCAGTTCTGAAATGTATCTTTAGTTCAATGTTTATAACATTTTATTTAGCAGTAGTTATTCAGGAAAATACCTTTTGCATTTTTACAATTGTTTAGTGTAGTAAGCTTCAGAGCTACTGTGTTTATCAGTGTTCATGTTTTGAGGCTAAAAAGGATAAAAGAAGCTTGATTAGTTATTTCAACAGCTATTTTCTTTTCAGGCTTCACGGCTTGCACGGCCACTAATCCAATTTGGTTTATCAAAACTCGTCTTCAATTGGACTACAGTGTGTATGGTCATAATGCTTCTGCGATCCAGTGTATACGCCGAACTTACCGACAACAGGTTTGTTTGCAGTGCATTGACAGTTACGTTGCAAACTCTGTAAATGTAAAAAAAAAAAAAAAAAAAAAAAAAGAAAACTGTTCATTAACTTGGGCTAATATAAATTTCAACAGATTAAAGAGCAGCATGGGTTTTAAATGTGGTCATGAAAAGAACACATTCTGCCATTTATCAGTTTCAGAATTTGTGCATGTTTCATGTTTAATTCTATTGCACTCGTATAAACTGAAATCTCAATACAGTACAGTACTCTAGTAATATTTTTTTTTTTAGTTTTACACTATTCATATCAACTTTTGTAGTTTCCAACTGAATCTTTTAAGTGGGAGTTCTATAAAAACTTTTTTGAAATCACATCAAATGTAACTTGTGCATACATTTTATGAAATATCGCATTTTTATATTTGATCGTGTTATCCTAGGTTAAATCTGGATAACATACTTTGTAAGTGCCATTAACATGTACTTGTCAGTTTTTTTTTTGTATGTTATACCCAAATAAAAACTTAGACTTGATAAGTAGAACTTATCAAGTCTAATTGGAAACCAGACTGACAACAGAATTTTGCTCCCAAAGTGTATTTACCAATAGAAAACTTTTTTCAGTATCTTTACAATGCTTATAATGGAAAAGGCCTATACATTAGTGGTCTTCTTTCTCTCTGTTTTTTGTAATTCTGTATTGGTATAGTGTGTGTTTTTTGGCTCTCTTGCTGAAAGGGTTTTTCTCTCTTCACAGCACTGTTTCTTGTAGATTCTTGCCTTTCCCAGTACACTACAAATTCTCTCATCTTCTGAATACTTGGTACAACATAACATTGGCTGTTTCCCAACTTTTCTTCGCTTGACCTGACTTCTGACTTCCCTTTTCTGACTCGCTGACCAAAACCTTGAGTTGAATCTCCAGTTTTTACGTTAGATGTGAATTATTCCAGCCAGGGCATTCTGACTTATTACAATACTATAATGTATATTTTGATGTTGTGTTTACATTGTCTTTATTAAAAGCATAAGCTATTATTATTCCAGTAACTTTGAAATACTGTAATATTTTAATATATTTGAAGACTTGGTAAATAATGAAAGGTTTTTGGCTCTTAATGGTGAGAAAATTGGGTGTTTGCCAGTCTGCGTGGTTTAATACACTGGGTGTCTGCCAGTCTGCATAACTTTAAAGCACTGAATACTGTGCCAAGATATAATTGAGAAAATAAGATGCCTTTCATGTTATATAAAGTGAAAGAATAGGTACTTTGCTTTTGTATATTCAAGTTTGCTAAGTAGTACAGATTTCAAATTTCATCACTTACAGAATGTTGAGTGATGCAACAAATTAATTTAAATGTAATTTATTAATACTATACTTTTTTGTCAGGACTGAATAAAAATTCAACTTAATGTTTATGTATCTAAAATTATACAGTTACTTTACAGGGCATTGGTGGGTTCTACCGGGGGATCACAGCATCATACTATGGCATCTCAGAAACGGTCATCCACTTTGTAATATATGAAGCCATCAAAGCGAAGCTTATTTCTGATAGGTAAGTTTTCTCTTAATATAAACATTTATTAACTAATTTGCAAGAGGAATATATTTTAATACATTCACTGTACTTTAAAATATGATGTGTAATATATGAGGAAGTAGGGAGGAGAGGTTATACTATACTTCCCTTTCTTCATACTGTTAACACACTTATTGTACACATACACACCTGCACACACTACTACAGTGCACCCCCCAGCTCTGCAACCTATCCATCCATTAGCTATTTCCTGTGATCAGCACCGTGAAATTGTTCTCACCCGAGATAGTGACCTGTGATCTGCCTCCTTTCTTGGATCAAACTTGATTATTTGCCATTCCAGATACACTGTACGAGCCTTGCAGATTTATTGCCCATTCAGCTATAAGAAGTACCCTATAATGTTCCCAGAAATTGATAATTTGACTAATTTTACTCAAAATTCAACAAATTAAAATTTATGAAGCCCAAAATAAACACTGGGCATTCCATCCGCTAAAGCAACCTTTCCTCAGTTCACTAATCACATCTTCAGGCCTCTCCTATAATAACACTTGCTTCCATTTTGAATCTCTCATCACACACAAAAAATGAAGTTCTCTATTTCTTGATTAATAAACTATAAGAATGTTTGGTTATAATTTAGGCTGCCCCCAATAATTGAAGCAGACTAGTGAAAATCCATAAATCAGATCCTGGTATCATTGCCTTTTCCCTTCCTCAGGAAAATTGCTAAAAACTGAATCATCTCTATTGGTATCATTATGAAGTGATACCAAGAAACATCCAATAAAAGCATTAAACCCACTATTAAAAATTCCTCAGAGTTGCTATTTTTAAACTGATATAAGGTCAGAAGTTAGCTTCTCCTATCATGCATTGCTTGGGGCAGGATTTTTTTTATATTGTGCACACCCACCACAAGCTCATTCTTTCTTCTTGGTCAAAATTTACCAATCACAGTATAATTGAGGGTTCTGAGAATTAAGATCCACTATGTGAGAGACAGTAAAGGGTTAAGGAAGATATCTACTGCCATCAAGTGTCATTTACTCAACATTGTTAAACATATTGGAGAAATTTTCAAACAGTATTTACAGTATTGATCCCTTTTAATACTACATTCAATTAAAACATTTTGAACATTGAATTGTAGGTTTTTTATATAATACAATTTCCAAGTGGTTTTTAATACTTTTTGTGCATGAACTGACTAACTTATTAATCTTTCCAGGCAAGGCAATCCCAATAATCGATCAACTCGGGATTTCCTGGAGTTTATGCTTGCTGGTGCCACATCAAAAACCATAGCATCTTCAATCTGCTACCCTCATGGTTAGTATGCACATTGGTTTCTGGTCAGGTTCAAGTGAATTAAATTGCAAATTATGGGTATCTTGCATAATTTCCACATGGTACTACATTGATTAATATTGTTATCTGGTCCTGCATTTGGACTACAGTACAGTTTACTGCCATTTTCAGGTTCTTTAGGGTGACATGCTGTGATGGCATACATAAGTATAATTTTGGTTAAGGGGATATAAAGGAGTGGGCGTAGGGGTGAAGTGAATCTTTTTGGCTGGAAAGGTTGAAGGAACTCAACCTGATGACACTGGAGGACAGGAGGGATATGATAGCTACATATAGAATACTGAGAGGAATTGAGAAGGTAGACAAGGCCAGAATTTTTCAGAGATGGGGCACAGGAACAAAAGATCACAATTGGAAGTTGAGAACTGATAATAAGCAAAGGGGAAAAGAAGTGTTACTAAATTATAATTGTTTATATTCTGCATACTTGTTGAAGAAAATTGAAAAATCACCAAAATTATCACTGATTGAAATAAAGTGCACGTACAAGGTTGTCCGGTAGGCCTGTTATGCATTGTAAAATTGTGAAGAAAATTGACCAGTAGCTTTTGTATCATAATTCAAGATGCACTTCCTTTAAGTGTAATTAAATAACAAATTGCTTTTTCTAGGGGAAGGATAAAGATTTCTTTTATAAGAATGGTTACCTATATCAATTAGTACTAAAATGCTATATTATGTTTGTGGTTGTAATACCAAGAAAACACTAGTGTGGTTGTTTCAAGTTCCACAATGTAAATTTGATAAATTTTCTCATGCAAAATATCAAAGCAATTTTTAAGGTTTTCAGTGATGCTGTATGTTAATATTTTATAACTGCCTGTTTACCCTTGTTAAACTGCATACTGCCACATTCAGTGATCGAGTGAAGTCTTGTAAAGGTTAATTATGTAATATAATCTATTGGGGAAGTGGAACAGAATTTTTCCCTTTTGAGTCATGCGTGTCATAAGAGGTGACTAACATGCCGGGAGCAAGGGGCTATTTAACCCCTTCTGTATACATTACTAAAGTTAAAAAGAAGCTTTTGTTTTTCTTTTTGGGCCACCCCTGCTTCGGTGGGATATGGCCAGTTTGTTGAAAGAAGAAAGAATCTATTGTTCATCTTGTGATGAACTTTCCAGTAAGCTCCATGTTTTGCTGTAGCCTTTGCATGTGCTGTCTAATATACCCTGGTAATTTTAGTTAGAGTATTCACTGTTTTGGTATAAAATACAATAATGAGAAAATGAGCTTAAATCAAAGTTTCTTTAACTAATGCAAGGAATAATAAAATAACAGAGTTACAATATTCAGATCATCGTGGCATTGTAATATCGAGTCTTAATTTTTGTTGCAGAAGTAGCAAGAACGCGGATGAGAGAAGAAGGCCGCAAGTATCGAGGGTTTTGGCAAACTCTTGGATTAGTACTGCGTGAGGAAGGATGGGGCGGTCTTTACCGAGGTCTAGCAACACAACTTGTACGACAGATTCCCAATACTGCTATTATGATGGCTACATATGAGGGTGTTGTCTATGTCCTCACAAGGTAAACTATCAGTCAGTCCTCTGAGTAATTTTATTTTCAGATTGAAAACTTAGTCTGTTAAATCCAAAAATTGTCATTTAACATAAGAACATAAGAAAGAAGGAACACTGCAACAGGCCTACTGACCCATGCGGAGCAGGTCCATGTCACCCCCCCCCCTGGTTAGCCCAATGACCCCCCCCATCCTCCCCGGGTTAACCCAATGACCCCCCCCCCCCCCGGATTAGCCCAATGACCCACCCAGTCTGGTCACCTCCACTCAAGGATGGAGCACGGTACCAGACCCAGCAGCACAAGCTAGTCAGGTCCAACTCACACCCACCCACACCCACTCATGTATTTATCTAACCTATTTTTAAAACTACACAACGTTTTAGCCTGAATAACTGTACTCGGGAGTTTGCTCCACTCATCCACAACTCTATTACCAAACCAGTGCTTTCCTATATCCTTCCTGAATCTGAATTTTTCCAACTTGAAACCATTGCTGCGAGTCCTGTCTTGGCTGGAAATTTTCAGCACGCTATTTACATCCCCTTTATTTATTCCCATTTTCAGTTTATACACCTCGATCTACGCCTTTCGAGAGAGTGTAGATTCAGAGCTCTCAGTCTATCCTCATAGGGAAGATTTCTGATACATGGGATCATCTTTGTCATCCTCCTCTGTACATTTTCCAGAGCATTTATATCCATTCTGTAATGTGACAATCACAGAAAATATCTTCATAATTTAATTTGAATTTAACAGACAATCAGCTTTATGGTCACCCTATTTTCCCTATTATTCTGTTAAATAAAGGGTTAACTGTATCTTTAATCTGATAACATTATAAATTTTCTCAAAATGTTGTCAGTCCGTTGCATACAAGAGACTGAATTACAACCTCTACTCACTTAGCGACATACTCGTTTACCGACGACTCGGACTTACAGTGGGCTCTCTGACCAGTATGCATACCTAAATAATGTATGTTAGAGCTGATTTCTTCTGTTCTGTTCATTACTAAAAATGTTATAAATGGTGCAAAGGTGACATTAAAACAATATAAAAAATGGTTGACACAAACTCACTACCATTATAGTATGCTCCTTGCTTTGCGACGAATTCGTTTACCGACGTGGTCTTAGGAATGAACTCCATCATTAAGTGAGGAAAGGCTGTTCTTAAAAATACATTCCTCATTTGTTACCACATTCACACTGAGAAACAAAGTGTGAAAGTATTCTTAGTAATGGAAAGGAATGTGTTGCCCATGGAGCATTACTATGGGTTAAATATATCTTAGGAACCAGAAAAATAATATCATGCCCTATTAGTAATATAATAGAAAAATTTATAAACTAGGAATAGGCAAACAGCTTCTTTATTGTTTTGTATTTATTCTGATATCTCACATCTTTTATTGAACTTTGAAACAGTTATGAAAAATTGCAAGTTTAAGCTTTTATTTATTTTTTATTGTACAGGCACTTTGGTGAACATGACAGTGAATTTTACGAAGATGATGGTTATGAGGATGACATGGACGATAACTCGGCAGAGTAGCATTGCATATTCAACTATTCTGTTTTGTGCTGACCTGCTGATAATGACTTAAAACAAAAAAAAAGAAGAAAAAAGTTAAACTGAAGTATATGATATACTGTATAGCATGGTATCTTTGGAGGTTTTTAGCTAAATTTAATATAGTTTCAATGCAGTGCTGATGAATGGTTTTGTCCATAATGTGGAGTCTGAGTAGAATTTACTCCCTGAGAAAAGCATTCACCACTTAGTAAGTTACTGACCAATTTTGAAAAAAAAAATCCAGGCCCATGTTTGCCTCTGATTTATATGAAACATAAGTAAATATGTGACCTGAACTGCAGCATCCCCAATGTTTCTTAGAGTGCAGATATTATACTTCCCACTTCCAGGACTTCAGTTTGTAAATACACACGTACATGTGCGCGTTTGCTCTATTAAGTAACTAGCTGAATATAATTTTATTCAGAAGTATTTTGATGTATAAAAACCTCCTTTGAGTAAGTGTTCATTGCTTCATTTTTTTTTTCAACTCCTCGGCCATCTCACACTGAGGCAGGGTGACCCAAAAAAGAAACTTTTACCATCATTCACATAATCACTATCTTTGCAGAGGCACTCAGATACAACAGTTTAGATGTCACTCCAAACTGCCAGTATCCCAAATCCCTCATTTAAAGTGCAGGCATTGTATTTTCCGTCTACATGACCTAAGTCCAAATATTTTTTCAGTAATTTCAGGTAAAGTCCTTTTTTCTTACTCAGCACTGCATTACATACGTAATGAGTGACTTTTAGCACTACTTTCTGTTACTAGTTTATAGATGTTATGTCATGTGACTAGCTGGTGTAAAGTAAGCAATGAGAGGGTGATAGGGTCATATCTCACTTGAATGAGTAGTTAGTTTCCCAGAAATTATAATGCTGGTGAAAGTTTCTTGGTCCAAGGAATTGAGCTATCATACTGTGTGGATATAATTTGGTTGTCTCCCATTCTCCAGGTGCTTTATTACCCTTGCAGGTTTAGTGCTAAATTTCCCCATAAATATACAACTCCATTTTTTTTTTTCACGTCAGCTGTTTAATGAGATTATTTGGTAATGCTGGAAGCGGGTGGTTAATGATAAACTTTTCTTCGGAGGCTTCTTTGTTTATTGAAAAGTGTCGTGGTGGGTACACAGGCTTGTGTGTTGTGCCCATGGCCCGGGCAGGGCCATCCCACGAGAGAGAGCTAGGAGTAAGGCCTTGTGTCTTCCTGCTAGGCTTCTGTGTGAGTGAGAGCGAGGCAAGGGCAGGCAGGCTGGCTTGCCCACCGAGAGGCTTGGTTGTTCTTCCAGTGCTTCAAATTTGGAGGATGGGGCCAGTTCCACCCCATCTTCTTCAATAGCTTCTACTGGTATAGGTGGAGGGGAAGATGTGTGTATGCACATTTTTAAAGACTTCAATATTAACAACTGAACCTTCTAACTGGTTAGAAGATTCCTGTTCCATCTTGACACCAACCAGATACTTCAACTGAAGAGAGTAGAATCAGCGATGGTGGTACTGGTAGTAAGACTGCTTATAATGCTCACTCACACTCCACAATCTGTTGTTGTTGATGATGATGATGTGGTTAAGGGAGGTATGTATCACCATTTATAAAAAGGGATTATTTGGTGTTCTGGTAGCGGGGAGTCAATGATAGATCTTCTTCGGAGGCTTCTTACTTTATTGTTAAGTCGTGGTGGGTACACAGGCTTGTGTGTTGTGCCCATGGCCCGGGCAGGGCCATCCCACGAGAGAGAGCTAGGGGTAGGCCTTGTGTCTTGCTGCCAGGCCGCTGTGAGAGTGAGGCAAGGGCAGGCAGGCTGAAGTGGCAACACCTATAGGTGGCAGCACCAGCATGGCGTGAAATATGAACTAAGCTGGCAGACAGCATGGGCTGTCTGTGCAGACAGTACAGGCTGTCTACATAGGCTCGGCCACCTACCGGTACATGCTGTACACTAACATGTGAGAACACTGACTGAGAGGAATTAATTAGCACACGACATATATCTTCTCTCAATCTTCTCGACAATACTGAAACAATTACAAGAAACACTCGATGTGACATCATGTGATGTCTCGAGGTGACGTCAGGCAGACATCGTGAGGTCATGAAGTCGGCAGCAGCATCGGTGAAGTCGGGCAGCATCGTCGGTGACGTCAATGTGATGCGGGCAGCAGACCACAGCACGTGGCCTGGGACATCTGGTAACTCACGTGGTTTGTAGATCCACGTGATGTCGTGATCCACGTGGCGTCGTGATCTACGTGGCATGCTGATCCATGTGGCCTCGGGGACTTGGATACAGAGTTCTGGCAATGAATCACACGAAAAACAGCAGAAAACACAGCAGAGGGAGTGAGTAGTGGTGAGTGGTGTATGGTAGTGTGGTGGCGAGGAGCGTGGGTGAGTGTATGGTGAGGGAGCATCTGGCCATTCCTCCTCCTCCCACCCACAAACACAGGGAAACACACTGGACGCAGAAATCACCATGAAACTCACCTCTGGCTTGCTGAAACAGCTGTGCTGAGCTGAACAACAACAGCAACATACAAGTGACGCTGAACACGTGACTTGAGAAACAGCGTTGGACTCTGTAGCGTGGGGTCACGCTCGAAGAAATTCGGTAAATTTCGGCTGGATCCTGCTTGTACCTGTGTCTGGATGCTCAAACGTGCAGACACGACATCAGGATAACTCGTTGAGAGACGGATGCTTCTTGTATAGGGTGATGAAGTGAAGAACTTCATTCCTTCCTTCCTCTCTCTGGGCAAACACACTGCTGCGACCACCGCTTTCCACCATTTATAAAAAGAGATTATTTGGTGTTCTGGTAGCGGGGAGTCAATGATAGATTTTCTTCGGAGGCTTCTTACTTTATTGTTAAGTCGTGGTGGGTACACAGGCTTGTGTGTTGTGCCCATGGTCCGGGCAGGGCCATCCCATGAGAGAGAGCTAGGGGTAGGCCTTGTGTCTTGCTGCCAGGCAGCTGTGAGAGTGAGGCAAGGGCAGGCAGGCTGAAGTGGCAACGCCTATAGGTGGCAGCACCAGCATGGCGTGAAATATGAACTAAGCTGGCAGACAGCATGGGCTGTCTGTGCAGACAGTACAGGCTGTCTACACAGCCGTCTCTCACTACGTCTGTTAACCAGGTGAAAAAGTACATTTAATATCCATGCCTTTATTTCCTAAGGAGACCTGGAGATGGAGAAATAGTGTTGCACTCTGAAGGAGGGATGGGGATATTTGCAGTTTGGGGGAGGATCTTAACTATGGGATCGGTACATCTCTGGCATGACAGTGATGGATTGAATGATGGTGTATTTTTTTTTTTTCTTTTTTTTTGGTCACCTTACCTTGGTAGAATATGACCAGTGTGTAAAAAAAAAAAAAAAAGTAATGTGACTAATGTAACAGTAATCTAAATTATGTACATGTTTAAGAAAATGGTGGTGAATGCTTCCCCAGTGTTTTGATTTTGATATTTTAGATATAATCGGATTAATGTTTTGTGGTTTCGTTTTTTCTATTCTCATTCTCAGCAAATTAATGCCGTAGCACAGATTCTGCACATCAGTGCTCAATACCGGTAATAACTTTGTAATTTGTTTTCCATGTATTATTACAGGTTCACAGAATGATCCTTGACTTGTATATTTTTCATGTCTTCCAGTAATTTTTTTATTTCTTTTTTTGTACTTTTTGCCAAGCCAATTAAGGTGCTTAAAAGTTGTTCCTATGACAATGGTTGGATTTACAGTGATATTTTCTTGTAATGTCCTCCTCTGAATATACGTACCAGTTTTTTCTTAGTAGCTGAATGTAATCTGGTAGCCGAGGATAATCTGTAGGTACTTTTGTGGTTTACCTTTGATAGAGTACCTAATTATAGTTTCATTATGTGACTATAATAAATAAAATAAAAAATTTCTTCTGTAATATGTAGCACTGTATATTTTTCCCAGGAAACATTCAGTGAAAATTTACCGGTAGCTGTACAAATTAGACATTTAAATTTTTATATCATACCCAATGTAATAATTCAGTTATTGAGAGTTCAGTTAAAAATGCCTTGTGATACTGAATACAAGTTTTATTAATTGTTATTACAGCCAGGCTTTTCCAGCACCTTGTAAGCTCTTCCACATAACCTGTTTGACTGTGGATGATAAGTAGTCACCAGTAAGAACTTTCTGGGCAGAGTGATTATAAAGTTATTTCTAGATTTGTTGTAGTAATATAGAAATTATATGCTTGGCAGATTATACCTGTTGGTAAAATATTAATAATATACTTGAATTATTGGGCTTATTAGTCACAAGACAGACTATAACAGTTGCTTAAAATCCCAGTAGTTATAAAAGGCTCTTAGACTATGAAGCTTACACTTACCTAGGAGGGTACCACTTCAGATAGAACAAGGCACAATTTAGATGTTGCCATTTGCTTGCAAGCTAACTTTCGCTGGTGACAAGTAAGCAATCTTGTTACATAGATGCAGTGTACCATATATTACTGGCCATAGACCTAGAATAAGACTGGGAAGGAGGGGGAGAGGTGATACTTTTGCTACAGTAAGATTTTTAACATAACTTCAGGTAAAAGTTGGGTATACTTTCTCACAGATGGGAGAAAGTCAGGTTTTCTTCTTCAGCAGTCATCACGTGTGTTGTTTTCGTATCACAATGGGAGTCACAAGTCTAGATAGAAGGAACTAAATAAGCCATTTTTGTACTCCCCCAATGAAAATGAGCTAGTCATTGCTGTACCTACATCAGAATGCATTTTTTTTTTTTTTGTAAATTTTGTGATAAGTAATAATGTTTGTGAGGTAGGACTCTCGTGGCAGCTTGTACACATCGCTACACTCTTCCTCCCTTTATGGGTGCACCCAAGATGTGTGTACAGCTAGTCTCTGCTGTACCAGAATTTGTTTTAATAGTACCTGTGGTGTGTCAATTTAAATATTGCATTAATCATGGTGAATGTAAATTAAGGTTCTAGTACCACAGCTTAGAGGACAGTCATAAATTTTAGCAAAATACTGTAACAGTTATCAGTCTTGTCTGGTACCCTGTGTAAATAAACAGTATTGCAGATTTTTTTTTTAATTGAATTAAAAAATTTTTAACATTAATTTCATTTGAAAAAGGATACTGCAAGTCAGTCTCAAGGCACTTAGCAAGCTTTATAAAGTGAGTAAAACCAGTCCAAAGATTCAGTTGGACTTGTCACACCACCTCCAATGGCCCTGGGGGGGGAAGGGGATGCATTGCAACCCATCACTAACAACACTTGATAACATGCAAAGGTTTCTTTATTTTTTTTTTTTTTTAAAGGGGTATTATTACTAGGCCTATTTAGTAAATAACCTCTATTAATGGCCAATAATATATGACTAATCTATTTTGTGCCTTTGGTGAAAAACAAGAAGTTTAAAATACAGAATGTAATATCAGATAAGGTAACAAAAAAAGGCACAATACCGTGACTGGAATGATATATTGGTTGCTTTTGGCTACTTTGTATAAATGTTATTTTTTTACACCGAAATTTATTCAAGTGATCTCGATTTTCTGTTCTTAGTAGATCTGTTTATGGCAATGACCAAAATACGTGTTATAATGATTTTAGTTGGTACTATTCAGATTATGATTTTGTAGTGAATGTTATTTCATTGCATAAAATCTATTTGCAGTGCCATTTGAAGATAAACTAAAATATTGGTTAATCCTATGCAGTACTGCCAAACAATTTAGTTACTGTGTTAATCTGATATAGATTATTTTTCATAGAAGTACAGTAGCATGTTTAGTTGAAAGAAAAATAGATTTGCTACTCATTATTTATGCGCTATATTCTTTGTCTAGTCGCACACATTCAGAGATGTGGCTGTGAATGTTACAATTGGTTTAGACATCTTTGGAAAATGAGGTGTCTGGAGCAATTAAGAGAATTTCAGTTTAGTAAAGACCAATTACTGATCCACAGGTATTTTGAAAATTAATAATGTCAATTTGCTGAATTATCTGTTTTATCCTGAGTGTATTTAAATAATGCTTTATACTTTTGGAACAGTAGTTTGTTTTTAGTGAATTTGATTGTACAGTAATATGCATTTCTCGGGTTGTGACAAATTTCCAAAAAACATTTGTGAATGAGAACTTTATAAAAGTTCCATGATAATATTACGTTAATAATGATCAATATTTATTTGCATACTGTCTTGACACAAGTTATGTCATTTGTGGAAATTGAAAGTGTTTTATGAATGTACAGTGAAACCTCCATTTAACAAATTTCGTATTTAACACAGAAAAGCTGTAGCTGAGCAAATTATTCAATCCAGAATTGCAGTTATGATTATGGGAAAAAGTCTTGTCATTCATATTCAACGAACATCCCCTGCCCCACCCTGTTCCCCATCCAATAGTCTGTTAAATTGAGGATTCACTATATTTTCATTAGTCAACTTATACAGAGGATGAAAGTGATGTGTGGGGGGGATTGGGGGTATGGGTTAGAGGCTTCAACTCTATTTTCTTTTGGTATATAGCTGTATTATGGTTTAAACTGGCTGTGACTCCTTTTGATGATTAACACAAGGAGAGATCAGACTAGTAATGGATGAATGTATTTTTTTTTTTTTGTGTCAAGGTTCCTCAATTCATCACTTTGTTTGCTCAACAATACCTGTTTAGTTATGATTCCAAACTAGTTTAGGTGTTATTTATTACCCGTGCCTGCCTGTAGGCGAGGGTGAGTTTTATCAAGTGTGACTTATAGTCAATTTAAATAGTGAATTCTATGGATGTTTACATTAATTCACTCATTTTTCACTTGCATTCAGCTGCCCTTCATAAGTCATAGTAGCTCCTTTAATAGTGGCCAGAGTGGCCCAGGTTGGACTTAGGAATTCAATTAAAAAACTTCAAGTCCTTAAGGGCACCAATGGTTTAACTGCTGTAAAATGAAGTGAAGTCTACTATCTGCACTAGTCGGTGACAAGCAGTTGAAAGTAGATTAGTGAACCACTTTGTGAACCATAGCTGTATGACCCATTCAGGAGTAGCTCATGGTTTTGAATAATAAAATTAATTTCCAGATGAAATATTTCCTCAGCTTTGTACATGACAGTACTGAAGTTGTGGTGGGAGGAAACCCACTTTATATGAATGCCTCTGTTAGTGACAGTTGCAACACCTTCCACCTGTAATGGAGCTCTACCTACTCATGGAAATGTTCACATAATTCAGTTGTGGTTAGACAGGACTGAGTAGTTCTGCTGTAGTTACTCTGCAGGTCTTGACTTAATTAACATTGGGTTTCATTAGATTATTTCAGCTTTTAAGGATGCTCCTAGTATTTTGAGAATTTAGCATTGATTATATAAGGTCCTTGCATGTGTCAACATGATGACAAAAATGGTAATATTTATGGCTGTTTTCTTACATTTGCACAGAGCCAAATCCTGTTGTCTTTTTATAAAATCATTGTATTAATTTTGAATGGTTAAATTTTAAGTGAAATTTTGTATAATTTGAAAAGTTCTAATGCAGACTCCATACTTTCTTACAACTTGAATAATCTTGCACTTTTTCATGTATTTCAGAAAGAAAAGTTTAGTGTTGTGGAATATTTTGGTTATAGAATTATGGTAAAGTGAAAGTCCACAAAAGTACTCATATAATTTGAAAACATGGTCATCACATATTGCAGATTAATAAGAATTTTTATTTCTTGATTCAGGCATATGGTTAACATAGTGCTTACACAATTGGTGCCAAAATACATCTTAAATTTGAAGGAATAATGCTTGAAATGTGTGTTCATGTGGTTGATTTCTGGCATAAGACAACCATAGTGAAATAATGTTTTCATTATAGCCTACTTTAGTGATATAATTTTTTTCCATCTTTATAAAGGTTAGTTATCATTTGTCTCAATATATTCACGTTTCTTTTATGTAAATTAGCTCATCCCTAAGTGGTATAAGAATCAATGTTGAGGCTGTATTGCACATAGTGCTGGCCTCAAAACAGTCTTGATATGCTGTTTAAAGGAAAAATCTGTGCATTTGAACACCAAAATCTTCATGTACAGAATGGTACTGCAATATTTTAAAGGTCAGGTAGAGTTTTCACATTTTAACAGTAACAGGTGGCTGAAAGCTGAATATACAGTAGGTCAAGCTATGTAAACTACTGTACTTGCACAATATTCACAAAGTCTGTGGACATTTGAAATTAAGTGAAGATTTGTACCTGAAATTGGGATGCATTTTCTTTCAGATAAACTCATGTTATGCATATGTGTGTATATAGGTGTTTATATATTTGTTGACATTGTAGCTTTGTAAATATATTGTATAATAGAGAAGTTTTATGCAGTTTTCTTCATTCCTTCCTAAACTACTACATGTATAAATAGGGAATTATTAAAAAAAAAGTGTTTTTATGGGTTATACAGCACTTGGGTATTGGAAAACAGTAACCCTGCAGTGGGTCATACAGAGCCTGGGAAGTAAAAAGTAATGTTTCATCCAAGGAAGGGGAAAAGAATTTTGTCTCGAGGGAGGCACTCCGATACCAGAGGGGGGGCTCTTGGTCAAATGAGTTGGTCCTGACCTCCCCTTCCTTTGAATCTGATGGCCTGCTCCCCCAGGTGCTGTATGATCCCTGGGCGTTTTCATCACGAGAGCAATCATCACGGACTACCCCTCAAGGGAGGTTCCTTGATGCTGGTGAAGGGCTCTTGATCTAGGGAATTGAATCCGCTCCAGTTCCAGTTCCCTGAATACCTTACATCTCCCTTTGCCCACCCCCCTCCCAAAGGCGCTGTATAATCTCTATGGGTTTAGCGCTCCCCCATGATAATGTACCAACTTTGACTAATTTGCACTTCCCTTACTGTCTAGCATTATTATAATCAAAGAAAGTCAAGCATTGTACCACTTTCCAGTTAGCTCTTGTGAATAGGATAATCTGGAGGTGGCCATGTGGGTCTTGTATCCAATACTCTGATGAGAGAGAGTACTGTTTTCCCCATAACCATCGATGTTGAATAGTTGACCATTATTATTATTATTATAATCATGGGGAAGCACTAAACCCATAGGATTATACAGCATCTGTGGGGGGGGAAAGATGTGGAAGGTATTCAGGCTTAATTTAGGGAACTGGAGCACAGAATAGTTGATCAGAAATGGAAATGCAGCTGGACTGAAAATAATGCATTGGCAAGTAACTGAGCAGTGAAGCTGCCAACAATTTAATACACTGGGACATTGCTGGAAAATTAGAATTTGACAGTCTAAGGAGATTTGGAAAGATTCTGAATTGCAGAATGTGCAGAGAAATCTGCAAGTTCATTACCTAGAACACTAAATTTTTAAGGGACTCGGGCCACTGGTAGTGCTAAGGGCTTACAGCTGATGAACTCGGGCTCAGTCGTGGGTGAACGAGTCATATTAGCAAATCTAATGCCTGCTGCCCTTGCTCACTTACTGGTCAATATCTAGGTGTTTGTCAACTGCTGGAGAGGGGATCCTTTATGCTGATGAGGGACTACTGATTCAAGGAGAGGGACCTATCCTCTTTCTTTTGTTCAAATGTGCCCCTCAAGGGAGGTTCCTTGACGCTAGTGAGGGGCTCTTGATCTAGGGAATTGGATCTGTGCTTTGGTTCCCTGAATACCTTCCACCACCTACCCCTACCCCCACATGCTCTGTATAATCTACGGGTTAAGCGCTCCCCCATGATTATATGTAATAATAATATAGTTCAAATCTGATTGCCTCCTGTTCAATCGCATTCATAATAATATCTATTTCTACAAGTGCATGTACCAGGTATACAGGCCTAGTTGACATTGACATACTATATAGAAAACCTCAGATGCTGTATGCTGTATAGCCCTTGTGGCTTAGCACTTCTTTTTTGATAATAATAATCAGGTGCTGTATGGCCTAATGGGTTTAATGCTTCCCAATTATTATTATTATAATAAAAAAGAAGCGCTAAGCCAAATGCTTCATAAGATTAAAATAAAACTACATACTGCTGTACTTTATGAATTTTTTGCTTCACTCTAGTTCTAATGTACATTTAATATATCACATTGCATAAATCACATTCACTAACCTAATTTCACACCACGTAACCCATGATGGTAGGTTCTTTACTCTGGATGGGGTGGTGGGGAGGGATTATGGTTTTTGTGGTCAGCTTCCTCAGGTTGGCCAAGATATGTAGAGACCAAATTAAACACCAGAATATGAGCAGGCTGGCAGGGCTGCAGCTGAAGTTTGCTCGACCCTCACCGAATACCTCGCCACCACCAGACTGTGGAGAGTGATGCAAGACCAACCAGATTTCAATGTAGCCAGCACTGACCCTGTTTGACCCGTGTCCTACCAAAATAAAATGTTGGCCACCTGCTGGCCGCAACTCCACCGGCCTACTTAACTTCTTGGCAAGTTTGAAGAGAGTTTACATTATTATTATAATCAAGGGGGAAGCGCTAAACCCGGAGGATTATACAGCGCCTGGGGGGGATGTGGAAGGCATTCAGGCTTAATTTGGGGAACTAGAGCACAGATCCAATTCCCTAAATCAAGAGCCCCTCACCAACATCAAGGAACCTTCCTTGAGGGGAAGAGAGTTTACAAGTCACTATGCATGACAAAACACACAAGGTTTGATCAGTGTTATGGCCAAGCTGAACCAATGCAATATACAAATTTACATTTATGGAAATGCACTGAACTTGTAGATTATCCAGCGCCTTGGAAATGGAAACCAATCATCGTCGATATGAAAAAGAGAAAGTTCCAATTCCTTGGATTAAGAGCCCATCAATATTAAGACACCACCTTGAAAGACTGAGGGGACAAAACTGACCCAGTCTCTTACATCATGAGTCACTCCATTAACACGAACTTATTAACCGGTTAATAGGGTTTAAAGCCTATCGACTACACAAGGGTCATTATTGCTGGACGTAAATCTACCAGGCAAGAATAATTCAATACTTAATACAGGAATTAAACTCTCAGAGTAAACTAAAAATTACGCACATCTCTGTGCATATAACCTATCACGAGTTTATTAAACGATTACATGTATAGTTAAAAAAAAAAAAGCTAAATCCTCGCGGGTCATACAGTATAAATTAATAATAGTTTAGAATTGTGTAGTAAAAAGAAAAAAGTATTGTTTACAGATGAAAGCTGTAGTTTACCTGGAGCGAGTTCCGGGGGTCAACGCCCCCGCGGCCCGGTCTGTGACCAGGCCTCCTGGTGGATCAGAGCCTGATCAACCAGGCTGTTACTGCTGGCTGCACGCAAACCAACGTACGAGCCACAGCCCGGCTGGTCAGGAACCGACTTTAGGTGCTTGTCCAGTGCCAGCTTGAAGACTGCCAGGGGTCTGTTGGTAATCCCCCTTATGTGTGCTGGGAGGCAGTTGAACAGTCTCGGGCCCATGACACTTATTGTATGGTCTCTTAACGTGCTAGTGACACCCCTGCTTTTCATTGGGGGGATGTTGCATCGTCTGCCAAGTCTTTTGCTTTCGTAGTGAGTGATTTTCGTGTGCATGTTCAATACTAGTCCCTCTAGGATTTTCCAGGTGTATATAATCATGTATCTCTCCCGCCTGCGTTCCAGCGAATACAGGTTTAGGAACCTCAAGCGCTCCCAGTAATCGAGGTGTTTTATCTCCGTTATGTGCGCCGTGAAGGTTCTCTGTACATTTTCTAGGTCAGCAGTTTCACCTGCCTTGAAAGGTGCTGTTAGTGTGCAGCAATATTCCAGCCTAGATAGAACAAGTGACCTGAAGAGTGTCATCTTGTCTCTTGTCAGCAGATTACAATTATATATATATATATATATATATATATATATATATATATATATATATATATATATATATATATATATATATATAATATATATATATATATATATAATTAACACGTCGGCCACTTCCCACCGAGGCAGGGTGACCCAAAAAGAAAAAACTTTCATCATTCAACACTCACCATCATTCATGCAAAATCAGTCTTTGTAGAGGCGTTCAGATATGACAGTTTAGACGTCCCTCCAAACTGCCAATATCTCAAACCTCTCTTTTAAAGTGCAGGCATTGTACTTCCCATTTCCAGGACTCAAGTCCGGCTAACTGGTTTCCCTGAATCCCTTCACTAAATATTACCCTGCTCACACTTCAACAGCTCGTAAGGTCCCCATCACGCTTGCTGGAAGTTCAAGCCCCTCGCCCACAAAACCTCCCTTACCCCTTCCCTCCAACCTTTTCGAGGACGACCCCTACCCCGCCTTCCTTCCCCTATAGATTTATACGCTCTCCATGTCATTCTTTCATCCATTCTCTCTAAATGACCAAACCACCTCAACAACCTCTCTTTAGCCCTCTGAATAATACTTTTATTAACTCCACACCTCCTAATTTCCACACTCCTAATTTTCTGCATAATTTTTACCCCACACATGCCTTAGACAGGACATCTCCCTGCCTAAAACCGTCTCCTCGTGCGCTTTTACCACCAAGCTTCCACCCTATAAGGTGTTGGGTATACTTATTTCATACATTCCCCTTTTCTTTCCTCCATAGAAAAAGTTTTTTGACTCACATAACCTCACGATCCTCGCCTTTTTCCTCATCAATTTTGATTAACCTCCCCTTCATAAATCCATCGCCGCAGTAAATCCAAATATCTGAAAACATTCCCACTTTTCCATACTCCTCCCCCCTGGAGTTTACCTGGGGAAAAGTTTCGGGGGTCAACCCCCCCGGGGCCCCCGGTCTGTGACCAGGCCTCTGGGGATCAGGCCTGATAAAACCGGGCTGTTGCTGCTGGCTGCACGAAAAAACCAACGTACGAGCCCCAGCCCGGGTGATCGGGAACTGCCTTTAGGTCTTGCCCAGTGCCAGCTTGAAATCCCGGGGGTCTGTTGGTAATCCCCTTAGTTGCTGGGAGGCAGTTGAACATCTCGGCCCCCTGACACTTATTGTATGGCTCTTAACGTGTAGTAAAACCCCCTTTTTTCATTGGGGGAGGGGTGCATTCTGCCAATTCTTTTGCTTTCGTAGTGAGGTTTTTTCGTTGCAAGTTCGGTACTAGCCCCTCTAGGATTTTCCAGGGTTAAATTTTTATCTCTCCCCCCTGCTTTCCGGGAATAAGGTTAGAAACCCAAGCGTCCAGAAATTGAGGTGTTTTATTCCGTTATGCGGCGTGAAAGTTTCGTACATTTCTGGGGTCGGCAATTTCACCTGCTTGAAAAGGTGTGTTTGGTGCAGCAATTTCCACCCTAATAGAACAGTGACCTGAAGAGTGCATCATGGGTTTGGGCCCCCCTGTTTTGAAGGTTCTCATTATCCATCCTGTCATTTTTTAGCAGATGCGTTTGTACAATGTTATGGTCCTTGAAGTGAGATCCTCCGAAAAAACACTCCCGGTCTTTGAGTTGGGGTTTCCTCTTTTTTTGGGCCAGAAAATTTTTTTTGTACTTGGAAGATTTAATTTCCCCAGTTTACCATATCTGAGTAATTGAAATTTCTCATCGTTGAACTTCATATTGTTTTCTGCAGCCCACTGAAAGATTTGGTTGATGTCCGCCTGGAGCCTTGCAGTGTCTGCAATGGAAGACACTGTCATGCAGATTCGGGTGTCATCTGCAAAGGAAGACACGGTGCTGTGGCTGACATCCTTGTCTATGTCGGATATGAGGATGAGGAACAAGATGGGAGCTAGTACTGTGCCTTGTGGAACAGAGCTTTTCACCGTAGCTGCCTCGGACTTTACTCTGTTGACGACTACTCTCTGTGTTCTGTTAGTGAGGAAATTTATAGATCCATCGACCAACTTTTCCTGTTATTCCTTTAGCGCGCATTTTGTGCGCTATTACGCCATGGTCACACTTGTCGAAGGCTTTTGCAAAGTCTGTATATATTACATCTGCATTCTTTTTGTCTTCTAGTGCATTTAGGACCTTGTCGTAGTGATCCAGTAGTTGAGACAGACAGGAGCGACCTGTTCTAAACCCATGTTGCCCTGGGTTGTGTAACTGATGGGTTTCTAGATGGGTGGTGATCTTGCTTCTTAGGACCCTTTCAAAGATTTTTATGATATGGGATGTTAGTGCTATTGGTCTGTAGTTCTTTGCTGTTGCTTTACTGCCCCCTTTGTGGAGTGGGGCTATGTCTGTTGTTTTTAGTAACTGAGGGACGACCCCCGTGTCCATGCTCCCTCTCCATAGGATGGAAAAGGCTCGTGATAGGGGCTTCTTGCAGTTCTTGATGAACACAGAGTTCCATGAGTCTGGCCCTGGGGCAGAGTGCATGGGCATGTCATTTATCGCCTGTTCGAAGTCATTTGGCGTCAGGATAACATCGGATAGGCTTGTGTTAATCAAATTGTGGCTCTCTCATAAAAAATTCATTTTGATCTTCGACTCTCAGTCTGGTTAGCGGCTTGCTAAAAACTGAGTCATATTGGGACTTGAGTAGCTCACTCATTTCCTTGCTGTCATCTGTGTAGGACCCATCTTGTTTAAGTAGGGGCCCAATACTGGACGTTGTTCTCGATTTTGATTTGGCATAGGAGAAGAAATACTTTGGGTTTCTTTCGATTTCATTTATGGCTTTTAGTTCTTCCCGCGATTCCTGACTCCTAAAGGATTCTTTTAGCTTAAGTTCGATGCTTGCTATTTCTCTGACCAGTGTCTCCCTGCGCATTTCTGATATCCAATTTGATATCCAATTTTTCTTTATCTAAATCATTTGATACCCTCATCACCTTACTCTTTTCTATGTTCACTTTCAACTTTCTACCTTTACACACAAAAATAAAAAAAACAAAATACAAGGAACAATTCAGGAAAATTAAAAATAATTGATCTCGATTTTTTATAGTTTCATCAATAAATGTTTAGTAGACACATTAACAGACGTAATTTAACCATTTTCACATTGAAAATTATTTACAATTCTTTATCTTATTCATAAACTCGTAAGCGCCACCAATAAACTTGAACAAATAAGACATTTGAAAAAAAGAACACTCAACCCGTAGGGGGAGGTCGGGCGATACGTCGCTTGGGGTTGGATCCAAGGGAGGCCAAAATCCTTGGATCAAGAGCCCATCACCAGCATCAAGAAACCTCTCTTGGAAGGAAATAAAATGTCTCACAAGCCTCGCATTTTTGAAACACATTTAAATGTATCAATGTATCATTAATTAGCGGATACATAAAGCAGGATACAGTGCAGAGAATATCCTGTAATTTAATATTAAAACTCAAACTATTCAAGAACGTAAGACATGGAAAATACTAAACGTACTTCGTTCATACCTGGAGTATACCTGGAAGGTATTCCAGGGGTCACCGCCCCCTCCCGGCCCAGTCATAACACTACCAGAACAAAACCTCCAGCAACCACTACTTGCGCCAGATACTTATAGTCACGAACCATGTGTCAGATATAGTCACAAACTGTGTGTCAGATACAGTCACAAACTGTGTCAGATACAGTCACAAACTGTGTGTCAGATACAGTCACAAACTATGTGTCAGATACAGTCACAAACTGTGTGTCAGATACAGTCACAAACTGTGTGTCAGATACAGTCACAAACTGTGTGTCAGATACAGTCACAAACTGTGTGTCAGATACAGTCACAAACTGTGTGTCAGATACAGTCACAAACTGTGTGTCAGATATAGTCACAAACTGTGTGTCAGATACAGTCACAAACTGTGTGTCAGATACAGTCACAAACTGTGTCAGATACAGTCACAAACTGTGTGTCAGATACAGTCACAAACTGTGGTAGATACAGTCACAAACTGTGTGTCAGATATAGTCACAAACTGTGTGTCAGATACAGTCACAAACTGTGTCAGATACAGTCACAAACTGTGTGTCAGATACAGTCACAAACTATGTGTCAGATACAGTCACAAACTGTGTGTCAGAGTCACAAACTGTGTGTCAGATATAGTCGCAAACTGTGTGTCAGATATAGTCGCAAACTGTGTGTCAGATACAGTCACAAACTGTGTGTCAGATACAGTCACAAACTGTGTGTCAGATACAGTCACAAACTGTGTGTCAGATACAGTCAAAAACGTTGTGTCAGATACAGCATCACAAACTGTGTGTCAGATACAGTCACAAACTGTGTGTCAGATACAGTCACAAACTATGTGTCAGATACAGTCACAAACTATGTGTCAGATACAGTCACAAACTGTGTCAGAGTCACAAACTGTGTGTCAGATATAGTCGCAAACTGTGTGTCAGATATAGTCGCAAACTGTGTCAGATACAGTCGCAAACTGTGTGTCAGAAACAGTCACAAACTGGGGTGGCCCGGTGGCCTGATGGTTAAAGCTCCCGCTTCACACACGGAGGGCCCGGGTTCGATTCCCGGCGGGTGGAAACATTCGACACGTTTCCTTACACCTGTTGTCCTGTTCACCTAGCAGCAAATAGGTACCTGGGTGTTAGTCGACTGGCGTGGGTCGCATCCTGGGGGACAAGATTAAGGACCCCAGTGGAAATAAGTTAGACAGTCCTCGATGGTGCCCTGACTTTCTTGGGTTATCCTGGGTGGCTAACCCTCCGGGGTTAAAAATCCGAACGAATCTTATAATCACAAACTGTGTGTCAGATATAGTCACAAACTGTGTCAGATACAGTCACAAACTGTGTGTCAGATACAGTCACAAACTGTGTCAGATACAGTCACAAACTGTGTGTCAGATACAGTCACAAACTGTGTGTCAGATACAGTCACAAACTGTGTGTCAGATACAGTCACAAACTATGTGTCAGATACAGTCACAAACTATGTGTCAGATACAGTCACAAACTATGTGTCAGATACAGTCACAAACTATGTGTCAGATACAGTCACAAACTATGTGTCAGATACAGTCACAAACTATGTGTCAGATACAGTCACAAACTATGTGTCAGATACAGTCACAAACTATGTGTCAGATAGTCACAATGTGTCACTGTGCATTTCCTTACGCTACACATGTTGTCCATGTGGCCTATTTTTCATTCCCCCCAAGATAGGGACCTAGATGTCATCCAAGGGCTCTTGATACAGGGAGCTGCGTAACCCTCTACGAGTTTAGCGCCTCCACACAAATGTAACAGTATTACTTGTGCTTTCCTATGAAATTTGTTTTATTTGCGAATTCAATTATACGTATTAAACCAACTCTAAATTATTAAAAATAGTCGCTAAACCCGTTTAAACTTAAACCTCATTTGGTCATCCTAAAAATTATAGGAATATGAAAATGTCGTGTGGATATTACAATTACAAAAAAAGAACGATAAATATTTCTTAACACCTATATATATATAATTAGGCATTTACATGTGCCTATCAAGCCTAACTTGTCAAATAGGCTGAACTTTAAAAATTAAGATTTACCAAAAAATCTTTTACATAATAAATTTTTTTTATTCATACTGATAATTATTTTTATTTTGGATCAACACTAGCTACTTTAAGTAGTTACAAACAAATTTTTATTACTAATATATACTAATTTTTTATAATTATTAATATTATAAAAATATATATTATATATATTATATATATATATATATATATATATATTATATATATATATATATATAATATATATATATATATATATATATATATATTATATTATATATATATATATATATTATATATATATATTATATTTTAAATATATATTATATATATAATTATTAATATATATATATTATTATATATACACACACACATTTATGTACGCAAAATTATTCAGAAAATGCATTTCACTATGAAAGGAGATTTATTAATATGTATTCTTTTAATGCCTCTACAGATAAAATTGAAAGTACCGATGCAGCAGCATCAGCAGCAGCGGCGGTGGCGTTTACAACCTTGCTAAGAATCACAAACTGTAATAATTAAATATGCGCTGAACCTACGAAGGTCATAACAGCCATAAACTGTAATAATAACAATCTGTTTCTACATGTTACAACTTATACACTTGCATCAGGTCTTCTTCGAAGAATGTCTCTGAAGGATGGCAATTGTCATTGGCTGATGTAAATAGTTTTTTTTTTTGTTTTTTTGTGTTGACATCTATTTAAATATTGAAAGCTTGGAGCAATATTTTGCTTTTTAGGAAATTGCAGAGTAGTGTGTGAGTGTGTTAGGTGCCCATGTATACAGTGATTTCACAGACAGTGCAGGAAGCTGTGACTTTGTAATTGTGGATGTTGAAGGTGGCGAGGGTTGGGTCGAGGTAGTGACCCAGGGGACATGTGTCTGACACTTCGTCTTGCAGTACATACGAACAAGTCTTCAGTGTCCTCGCTAACTCTTCCCTGGACAGCTGGCTGGAGGCTTCCACTGCATCCACTCTCTCAGAGAAAGCTGTGTGTCCTATAGTAGTCTTCTCAGTCATATTGTGATTTTGAGTAAGTTTTCGCCTTTTAAAATTCCTTCTGGGTAGATTATATCTCGGTAGTGAAACTGAATTTTGGTCTCCAGTCCCAGGCATTTTAGAATTTCTGCTGCTTTCGTGAAATACAAACTCACCTGATTTAGATTCAGATATATATTCGATGTCATTATCTATTTTATTTACATTAATGTCCGCCTCTGGTTCCCGTAACGTCCGTGTTTTGAATAGTTATCCCACGGGTGTTCAAAGATACTTAATTCAGTATTAAAATCACTGAAAGTTTCTTCAAAATTTTGATTTTCAATAGACTCACTCGCATAATGTTTAGTTGGTTGAAAGACATTATCGCTACGAGTCGGTGTTTCATTAGTTTCCTGATGGGTGCTGTTGAAGGTTTGGCTGTTCCCAGGTCTTTCCTCAGCTCTGACACAGCTGTCAGTTGCTGTCAGGGAAACGCGACATACAGAAACCACTGTGTCCATCGAGGCGTCCAGGAGTTCCTTGTCCAGGAGGAAACTATCACCGCCTCTGCAGTCCTCAACTGTCATCTTATCCTCACAATCGTGTCTTGCCACAGGCGGATGAACCCTCTCTACCTTGGGCCGACAGAATGAGCTCCAAGTTGAATCATACGAATTCACAACCGTGTCTTCTTCAGCGAAGTGTTCTTCAGTTTTAATAATGTCATCCAAACCGTCAATTGCATCTTTGTCCTCCAGGTGGTCAGTCTTAAAACCAGTCATGTCTTCACATTTTGTAGTCATAATAAACGGCAACTCTTCCCCCTCAAATTCCTCGCTTTTGACAACATCCTCTTCGTTCTCTTCCCAGTTCTCCGACTTCATGTTCGATTTGCCCAATCCACCAGCGAGATAACTGAAGGCAGGAACACACACACACTTCGACCCCTCGTTGCCAGCTGCCTCAATGAACATTGAGCACATCTCTAAATGATTCACCTGTTCTTGCTTAATCATTCCATTAGCAAGAATATCAACACACTGTTTACTATCTGAGGTTTCAGTTAACTCTTCTACTGACTCAACCCGAGATGCAGCGCTCACAGCTGTCTTTCCAGGAGGTGATAGAACTTCCTGTTTTACCTGATCTCTCGTCATGGGGGACACGACCTCCATCTCTCTCCTATGAGTTCGAGGAGACTTGAGGTGTGCTGGTAAGTTGTGGAGACCCACGCTCTTGGCTTTATCAACACCTGCTTGTCTTATTGCTGTTGCTCTGTTTACTGGTACGTGTTGATTCTTTGTTAAGGAGTGGATAACGCCACTGCTATGGTCCACAGGCGTGGGTAGGAGCGAGGGCTTATTTTGATCCATGGGTGTGGGGAGGATACATGTTCCTGGGTCCACGGGCGTGGAGAGCGGGGAAATTTCTCGGCCCACTGGCGTGGGGAGGCGCGAAGGCATATTTTTATCCGTGGGAATGAGGACGGCCATGGGTGTGCCTTGATTCACAGGCGTTCCTTGGCCCACGGACGTGAGGGCGACCATGGGCGTGTCTCTGACTACGGGCATGTCGTAGGTTACCTGTGTACTGTGGCCCATCGATTCCTCTGACTGGGTAACACGCTTTGCCGTGGGTTGGCTCTCGGCCTCCGTGGGCTGTTTTGTGAATGCCGCATCAACCATGGATGGCTTGGACCCAGATGAAGGAACCGTGACAGTGCCAGTGGGTTTTTCAGTCTTAAGCGCCATATTCTTGGTTGTGGGCACCCTATTCTGGGTCGTGGGCGCCATATTCTGGGTCGTGGGCGCCATATTCTGGGTTGTGGGCGCCATATTCTGGGTCGTGGGCACCATATTCTGGGTCGTGGGCGCCATATTCTGGGTCGTGGGCACTGTAGTCTGGGTAGTGGGTGCCATATTCTGGGTCGTGGGCGCCCAATTCTGGGTCGTGGGCGCCATATTTTTGATCGTGGGCACCATATTCTTGGTCGTGGGCGCCCTATTCTTGGTCGTGGGCGCCCTATTCTTGGTCGTGGGCGCCCTATTCTTGGTCGTGGGCGCCCTATTCTGGGTCGTGGGCGCCCTATTCTGGGTCGTGGGCGCCCTATTCTGGGTCGTGGGCACCATACTCTGGGTTTTGGGCGCCATACTCTTGGTCGTGGGCGCCATACTCTTGGTCGTGGGCGCCATATTCTTGGTCGTGGGCTCCATATCCTTGGTCGTAGGCGCCATATTCTTGGTCGTGGCTGCCATATCCTTGGTCGTGGGCACAGTGTTTGTGGGTGCCGTATTCTTGGTTATGGGCACTGAGTGCCTGGTAGTGGGTGGAGTGCGTTTGATAGTCGGCACTACTGCATGTTCATCAATGGGCGCCTTGCGCTTGGGTGTAGGAGACCTGGGCTCCTCCACTGACAGGGGTACAAGCGCCATACCCTGAGCCATGAGCGACATACCCTGGGTCACAAGGTCTGTCAGCTCAGCAATAGATTCCGAGTCTTGAGCCGTGAGCATGTTAATTATATGCTGTGCCCATGGGCTTAAGTATTGTGCCAAGGTACTGGGTTTCTGAGCCATGGGTGGTGGATATTGGATCAGCGGGTACTGGGTCGCTGGCGGTGGGTACTGGGTCGTCAATGCCAGATGCTGAGTCATCTGTGGTGGGTACCGGGTCGTCGGTGTTGGATACTGGGTTGGCGGTGCCGGATGCTGGGCCGGCGGTGCATGATACTGGGTCGACGGTGCCAGATATTGGGTCGGCGGTGCCTGATACTGAGTCGGCGGTGCCCGATACTGAGTCGGCGGCGCCCGATACTGAGTCGGCAGTGCCCGATACTGAGTCGTGGATGGTTTTCCATCCATTGTCGTTGCAAACTTAGCAGTTGAAGACTGTAGATTGCGTGAGGCAGACCTCTCACGCAAAATCTTTTCTTCCGGAACCGACGTCAAATATCGAGTCTGGATTACAGAGTCCAAGGGTGGATTTGAGGTTGAGAATGTAGGGTTGATCATGGAGGTCTGACCCATCTGTGAAAACGAGTTAATAAAAGTGTTTCTTGTGTTGGTCGCCGCCTCGGTTACAACTACCGGCTTCACTTTGAAGTCCTCTACCACGTCATGTACAGCAGAGGAGTCATAGACCCTGTCCTTACTATAACGAAACTGGCAGTTATTTGACTTCATCTGGTACCATCGAGAGGTTTGTGTGTGCGTTGTGTCTGTAAACACTGGTATTCTTTGATCTTCCGTGTTTTGTTCCAGTCCCGATACAGTGCCTGTATTTGCTTCTTGCTTGTCGGAAAACACCGATGAATGATTGCCTGGAAGCTGTCCTGCTAACTCGCTAAGATCATTTTGTATGTAACATGGCTTTATTACAGGTGGTGGTGGTACACACAGCCATATTGGTGGGTACCTCGAAAAACAGTCTTGGGTAATCCCTGGAGGTGGGAAGCTGGGGATTGGCATGGACAATGACTTGTCTTGAGAGCTGAAGGAAAGTCTCTCCCCATCCAGGGGTTGATTCTCGTACCAATTGCTTGGAAAACTTGGAGACCTCAGCCACACCGGCTGACTACTTACAGACGTCGTCTCCATCTGTAATTCAACAACCTGTATTAATGTGCAGCATTCCTCTGTAGAGATCAATGTAGAGTATACTATTTCCCTAATGCTAATTTTCAATACATTTTCCCAACTCCACTTCCCTTTCCTGTGTGTTTTAAGGCTAACTTGTCACTTTCGATATTGCTTTGCAAGCTATATGCATTTCCAACAAGGACGAGTATTTTAATACCAACAGATTATGGGAAGAATAAGTGTATAATCAAAACGTTTAATGAAGAAGTTTCGCCACTGGTGAGTTTATCAATCCAAATATCTAGTTAAATAACAAAGTATAGCACAGAGGAGTCAAGACTGATCACTCGTCAGCAGCAGTAATCTGGGCATGAAAATAAGAATAATCTTCCTAACATATGCCAGTAGGTCCACTGTAATGCATCTCCATCCTGTCAACAGATGGCAATGTTCTGGTTGAGCTGAATAAACTTACCTAGAATAGAGATTCCGAAGCTCCGAGTTTTGTGTGATTGAGGTAGAAATTAAAATCACGAGGCTTCCAGACACTGTTGTCTCAGTAAATTACTCTCCTTAATAGTTCTGCTCCTTTCCACCTCATGATGTGGTCATGTCAATATGTTGAACATGCGCACACTGTTCACATCACAGCTCAGGTATAGAATGCATGGCATAGAATACCGAGAGGATAAAAATTAAACATGTGCAACAATCTGGGTATCTACAATAAAGATACCCAGATGCTGCAAGTGTCTAATTTTCACAAGGTGTTTGTGTGTTCCTTAACACGATGATCCATGGTCCTGCCTGTTTCTCCTACCTATACCTCATCACACAGCCACCGTCAAGAACCTGGTTAGACCGTAATAAGCCGGTTCCACAGAAGGCTGTGCTGAGATGCGACGAGGTACACATACATGTTGTCAGGCAGGACCATGAAGAATTGCTACTGGCCACATTGTGACAATGACATTAAAAAACAAAACTAATGGGCAATTTTATTTATCTAGGTTAGAAGAAAGTTTCTGATAAGTTCCCCATGAATAACTGATTTGGAAAGGTCAAACTTAGGAGGAGTAGCAGGTAAATTGTTGCGACAGATGAAGGACTTCATATTCGAGAGAAATGCTACCAGTTATAAGAGGATTATAATAACTAATCGCTAAATCCACAAGGGTCATACACAGTGATAATAGGAAAAATGTCCCAGTAGGGAGAAGTCAGAAGAGTGGTGCCACTAGGATCTTTATGTGACACCAATGTTTTTGATTTTTTTAAGATTTATCAGAAGGAATCAAAGTCTACATTTATGTTTACAAATACAGAAAAATGTATAGGTACTCTTCAGAATGACTCAATTTGAGTAAATGGAGGGATAAGATGGATGATGAAATTAGACAAATGCCATGCAATAGAAATGAGTGTGAAATTAAGCATAAAATAGACTGATAAAATGTTGAACGTAAGAGAGATTTAACAGTCATTAACAAGAAAAAAATTTACTAGATGATCACAAACGAAATTAAGAAAAACTCGTATTAACTTAAGACTCAGGGAGACTGACACCAGCGAGTCCATCTATCATCATTCTATCATGCAGGAGGAGCCACAGGTCTATGGTGCATCCAACAAGATAAGCAGACTCTTGGATGTCACTACCGCCCGGCTCCGGCTGGGTTACAAGTATCTTTGGCAGGTTAAATCACCACCACCAGATGTAGACCAAACGAAATATAAACTTTGCCATATGGACTATTGTCACACCTTGCGTCTTTATGTACTGGAGTGCGATAAAATTAATAAATTTAGAGACAACTCGCCCAGAAATGTTCAAGAAATGTCAAAGTATTTTATGTACACACACGAGTACAATCACAGTGAGTGCTTGTACTCTTGTGTGTACTCGCCTATTTGTGTGTGTGTGTGTGTGTGTAATCACCTATTTGTACTCACCTATTTGTGGTTGCAGGGGTCGAGTCTCAGCTCCTGGCCCCACCTCTTCACTGGTTGCTACTAGGTCCTCTCTCTCTCCCTGCTCCATGAGCTTTATCAAACCTCGTCTTAAAACTATGTATGGTTCCCGCCTCTACTACGTCACTTTCTAGGCTATTCCACTGCCTGACAACTCTATAGCTGAAGAAATACTTCCTAACATCCCTTTGACTCATCCGAGTCTTCAACTTCCAATTGTGACCTCTTCTTTCTGTGTCCCCTCCCTGGAACATCCTGTCTTTGTCTACCTTGTCTATTCCACGCAGTATTTTATATGTCATTATCATGTCTTCCCTGACCCTCCTGTGTCGTCAGGCCTATTTTCCTTAACCTTTCTTCATAGGACATTCCCCTTAGCTCTGAAACTAACCTTGTCGCAAACCTTTGCACTTTCTCTAATTTCTTGACGTGCATGATCAATGTGTGGTGTGTGTGTGTGTGTGTGTGTGTGTGTGTGTGTGTGTGTGTGTCCTAACAGTCAATATTTGCACTGATAATTCATTACAGCTGTGACCGGGTGTGAACGTGTGAATTGCTCATTACTTAATAATTTGTTCATGATTGTAGCCATGTATAGTATAAACGTAAGTAAATTTACTTACATGATTCATTACCTTCGTAACCTGTGAATTCATTACCTTTGTACCTAGTTCAGCTATCAAAACTTTGGGGTCCAGTTCCTGGACCCATTATGTACCTCTGTAATCTTTTGACTACCTCCCACAGGATGGGTATAGGGTGACTACCTCCCACAGGATGGGTATGGGGCGCATAATACACACATTTAACTAACTAAACTACTCGAGGGAATCATAAAATAGCTTTCAATTATATAGATGGAGAATAAAAAAAAATGGTAACATGATAAAACTGGATTATGAAGCGGTAGTGTGGAGAAGTTAGAAAAGTGAGAGAAGAACTATAATGTGGTTACTAAAGAGAAATTATGATGAAAGGTTGAAAGCACTGAAGATGCCAACGCTGGCTGATAGAAGACGACATGGTAGCCACATACAAGGTACCACATACAAGGTACCACATACATACAAGGTACCACATACATGGTACCACATACAAGGTACCACATACATGGTACCACATACATGGTACCACAAACAAGGTACCACAAACAAGGTACCACATACAAGGTACCACAAACAAGGTACCACATACATGGTACCACAAACAAGGTACCACAAACAAGGTACCACATACATGGTACCACAAACAAGGTACCACATACATGGTACCACATACAAGGTACCACATACAAGGTACCACAAACAAGGTACCACAAACAAGGTACCACATACATGGTACCACAAACAAGGTACCACATACAAGGTACCACATACATGGTACCACATACAAGGTACCACATACATGGTACCACATACATGGTACCACAAACAAGGTACCACAAACAAGGTACCACATACAAGGTACCACAAACAAGGTACCACATACATGGTACCACATACATGGTACCACATACATGGTACCACAAACAAGGTACCACAAACAAGGTACCACATACATGGTACCACAAACAAGGTACCACATACATGGTACCACATACAAGGTACCACATACAAGGTACCACATACAAGGTACCACAAACAAGGTACCACATACAAGGTACCACAAACAAGGTACCACATACATGGTACCACATACAAGGTACCACATACAAGGTACCACAAACAAGGTACCACATACATGGTACCACATACATGGTACCACAAACAAGGTACCACATACAAGGTACCACATACAAGGTACCACATACAAGGTACCACAAACAAGGTACCACATACAAGATACCACATACAAGATACCACATACAAGATACCACATACAAGGTACCACATACAAGGTACCACATACAAGGTACCACATACAAGGTACCACATACAAGGTACCACATACAAGGTCATAGAGGACATCAGAAAAACTACAGAGAGGATTCTTTTTTTTTTTTTGTGTCTACAACAGGGATAACGAAAGAGGACATAGTTGTAAACAGAGGAAAAGTGGCGCCGGAGGGATGGCAAGAAGTGGGCTTGACGGAGGGATGGCAAGAAGTGGGCTTGACGGAGGGATGGCAAGAAGTGGGCTTGACGGAGGGATGGCAAGAAGTGGGCTTGACGGAGGGATGGCAAGAAGTGGGCTTGACGGAGGGATGGCAAGAAGTGGGCTTGACGGAGGGATGGCAAGAAGTGGGCTTGACGGAGGGATGGCAAGAAGTGGGCTTGACAGAGGGATGGCAAGAAGTGGGCTTGACGGAGGGATGGCAAGAAGTGCGCTTGATGGAGGGATGGCAAGAAGTGCGCTTGACGGAGGGATGGCAAGAAGTGCGCCTGACGGAGGGATGGCAAGAAGTGCGCCTGACGGAGGGATGGCAAGAAGTGCGCCTGACGGAGGGATGGCAAGAAGTGCGCTTGACGGAGGGATGGCAAGAAGTGCGCTTGACGGAGGGATGGCAAGAAGTGCGCTTGACGGAGGGATGGCAAGAAGTGCGCTTGACGGAGGGATGGCAAGAAGTGCGCTTGACGGAGGGATGGCAAGAAGTGCGCTTGACGGAGGGATGGCAAGAAGTGCGCTTGACGGAGGGATGGCAAGAAGTGCGCTTGACGGAGGGATGGCAAGAAGTGCGCTTGACGGAGGGATGGCAAGAAGTGCGCTTGACGGAGGGATGGCAAGAAGTGCGCTTGACGGAGGGATGGCAAGAAGTGCGCTTGACGGAGGGATGGCAAGAAGTGCGCTTGACGGAGGGATGGAAAGAAGTGCGCTTGACGGAGGGATGGCAAGAAGTGCGCTTGACGGAGGGATGGCAAGAAGTGCGCTTGATGGAGGGATGGCAAGAAGTGGGCTTGACGGAGGGATGGCAAGAAGTGGGCTTGACGGAGGGATGGCAAGAAGTGCGCTTGACGGAGTGCCAGAACAGTGCCACACTCTGCGAGTCCACATAATATCCAGCCAATGGATTTTTTTCTAAAACTTATGAACAGAAAATTGAAGACGTG